ATTGTCTGTTATTGTAAAAGTCCGGTATTTGTCATTCTAGATAACTTTACTACACATAATTCCCTCAAACTCCCTCCATTTTGCTGTAAATAGGTACATTTCATTATTCCTTGTGGCTGAATAGTATTCCACAGTGTGGATATATCACATTTTCTTGATCCAATCATCTATTGATGGTCTTTGGGCTGTATCTATGTCCTTTCTAGCTATTATATTATAAACAGCACTGCAATAAACACTGTAATGCATATAGGTTTGGGCATTGATGATGGTTTCATGTCCTTGAATAAATGCCCAGAAGTGGGATTGCTGGGTCATAGAGTATTTCCAATTTCAGTTTTTTCAGATGAATTCAGACCTATTTTCATAATGACTGTACCAATTTCAGTCACACCAACAGTGTAACAGGATTCTTCATTCTCTACATCCTTTCTAGCACTTGTTGGGGACCCTTCTAATGAGTGTGAGATGGTAACTCATTATGGTCTTAATCTGCATTTATTTTATTGGAAGTGGTGATGAACTTTTTTTTCACATAAACACTCATTTTCACATAAACACTCTTTGGCAAATTGTTTGTATCTGTGTCTCATTAGTTAATTAGGTTGTATGTTTTTCTATTATTGAATTCCCTAAATTTTTAATATATCTTGGATATTAACTCCTTGTTGGTTGCATATTGTATGAATATTTTCTCCAAGTAAGTAAAATATCTTTTTAATAATTTTTTACACATAAAAGTTTTCTAACTTGAGATAATCCTAATTACTTTTATTTCCCTTGCCATAGGGATCGAGACACCAAAATCATCTTTAACAATGATGTGATGAAACATTCATGTTTTTTCTCTATATTTTATTATATTATTGCAGGTTATATTATTGAGGAAGTGATTGGATACCTACATCTGCAGTTCATGGGTGAGGTCTATATACATAAATTTCTAAGTTGTCAACATTCAGTGGTATTTATAAGATGAGAGAGAGCACAGAGTAAGGAGGGATGGAAGAAAGACATGGTCTGTATCTCAGTGTTGTGAAAATCCATTGTTTGAAAATTGGAGTTTTTTTCCAGAAAAGAAAAACAAAGAGAGAAAAAGACTAAAAGAAACAATCAGTGAGGTCTGGTGAGAAAGAAGAATGAGTATATTCCCAAAGGAAATGATTGATGAGCTGTTAAATGCTATTGATGGAACTGAAAAATGAGACCTTGCCAATAAATATTTTTGCTAAGTTTAATTAGCAAAAACATCAAGTATGCCAAGGAGAGACTGCTGTAATAACCAGAACTACAAGTCAGCAGAAATTAAGTCTCCCAGAGACCTCTAATTCTTGTCTTCCCACAAAAGAAATCCAGTGTTCCAATGCCTCATAACTCTTACTCTATTCTCACATACACCTTTATATGATTTCAATACTGCAACTAATGAGATCTGGGAGATCTAATCTGTACTTCGAAAGATACACTTTGACTCACTAAAACATACAGATATTTTTATCACATCATACATGCATACATTTGTTCAATGAAATTGAGTGCCTGCCATAGTCCATGCACTGTGGTAGCTGCTTGATAAGATGTGGTGAGAGAAAACAAAGGAAATTGGTAAATCACTAAAAGATATTAAATAGGGGAGTAATAAGATAAACCTGTCAGGGAACTAGAGGAGGAAGCAAGGTGGCAGGAAGGATGCTGTTGTGGTTGTAAGAAATAATTGGTGAAAGGCCTCCCTGGTGGCGCAGCGGTTGAACGCTGAGTTGCGAAGCTGCCCGCAGCCTCTGCAGCGCTGGTTCGATTCCCAGCTGCACCCCAGTCACTGGAGGAGGGTCCCACATGGTGCACAGACCTCTCCTGCTGCCCGCTGCTCCCCTCAGCAGTGTACTTCAGTCCTTCTGCCTGCTCTGCTCCCCGCTCTGGCTCTGGTGAATTCTCTCACCCTCCCGTGCTTCTGACTGTACCCAGTGCTTGTATAAATAAATAAATCTAAAAAATAATAATAATAATAATCTTAATACAGCTTTGAACCCGAGGAAGGAGAAAAGGTCAATCAGAAGGTAGATTCAGTGGACACAGAGACTGATGTGCATAGGGGGTCAGGCAGAAAGAGAAGTCTATCCTAATTGACCAGGTACATACTGACACCGAAAGCAAAACAGGTTTGGGGAACAGAGAGGCAGAGATGGTGATGACTTTAGTTTTTGACTCTTGAGTTTGAGATATACGATGTCTAAGTGGGAGTGTACAGTCAATTCATTTGGTTGTAAGTTCTCTGAAACATTTGGGCTCAATCAGGCTATAGACAGGTTAATTCTGATTGCATGAAGCAATATTTAGTCTGAGAAGAGTAGGTCAGAGGACAGAACTCTGGAAAATTCTAATACTGAGCCTATAGTTTTGGGTTGGAAACCCACAAAGATATTATAGACAAGTGGGTACAGAGACAGAATTCAAAAGCAGGGGAAAAGTAGCATGGTCATTAAGGGAAGAAATTTTCTAAAAAAGAAAGAAGCCAGTTCTTCATATGACACAGAGAAGTAAAGAATGGAAACGCATCCCTTGAGTTTCATAAAGAGAAGAATCTCACCATAATCTCCTAACAAATTAGTGATTTAAAGCATGTATTTATTGCTGCAACAATGTCTGCTGGACATGCTCTATTAAGTGAATCTATATACTATCATAAGTGAATCTGTATATTTTTCAAAATAATAAGTATTTTAAATAGTCCCATAATACAATACAATCCTTCTAAAGAGATGGAGAAACTTAAATCTCATATTACCTAAAGCAGGGCTCAAAAATGTAAAAATTCAGGCAAGTAAAATGATGGGTAAAGCAATTTGAGTGTAGGAAAAAATAAAAAATCCTGGAAAACACATTTCCTTTCTATAACGAGCAGCCACAATAAATTTCCAGTTCTTGGACGTATGGGCTAGTATTGCCAGGCCACCTGGTTTTTTAAGAGAAGCCACAAATCTTAAATATCAAGTTTCTCAAATTTAAAATGTAGTTCAATAATCTAAATATTCTTCAAAATACTGTGTGAACTTAATAAAATACATTGTATTTTAGATCTACTTATTACAATAGATGTAATAAAATCAACAGATGTGGCTCATGAACTATCAGTTTCTTACCTTTGCCCTAAAGTATATATAATGTAACATTTTAAACTTATTCACCCAAGGAAAATTAAGTTACATAGAGGTTCATTAGCATCAACAGAACAGGATCTAGAACGGTGTTCTTATAAAACTACTGATTCTACAACTTCCTTAACAATGAAAATATATACCCAGGTTAGTCACACATGCAAGCTGATAGTCACATTATGCTGTAATAAATTCAGGAAAGATGGCATAAGCTTCACATTCAGCTCTGGTTCTTCTGAAAATTTTTGGGTGTAGCTCCAGAAATGAAATTACAAATGACTAATCTGATAACTTATTTATAACTCACAAATTTTGCTTTAAATGTATAGGACACAATTACAAGAGATCTTTACGCAAAGTTGTAACTTTAGCTAAATAAATACCCATATCTATGTGAAGTTTTTAAACTAATATGTCAATATTTTAAATTTCTGGAGAAAAAGTTGTAAGTATTGCCAGGCTGATAGAAAGCTGAACTCCAATTATGAAGACTTTAGTGTACAGAGGACACCCATCCATTCAACCAACACTTATTGTGAACCTACAAGTTCTTGTTAAGTAGGGATAGATTCCTGAGCTTACAGAAAGGTGAGGCGTATATACATTTAAACTAGTTATTTCAATGAATTAAATATGAAGGTGTTACAGTGGTCCAGGAGGAAGGGACTAGGATAATTCTCTTCTCTGATCTTGTCAACAGAACTTTGAACTACAGTAACGCTAATTTTTCGAAAACCAAGTACACTCGATGACCTCAGAGGCAGATGGCTTGGTGAGCTCTAGACCCATGTGTTCTGCCTGCAAATGCATGAAATTCTGTGAACAGAGAAGGAAACATTCTTTTGCATTTCTCCTCTCTTTAAGGGGTTAATGTACTCCTTAGCAATGCAACTTTCCCCTATAAAGTTAGTTGTTAGTTGTGTCCTGATTTAAGCCACCTCAACTCAGTTACCACTTTGTTACACTTTATTTGCCTTTTGGGGTGTCCAATTAAAAAATCTGTGCAAAAAAAGAGGCAAATCTCTCTGGTTAGGAGCAGCAGAATCAGTTTAGCGCCCAGGTCATCCGAATGTGGTTGCATTTGCACAAAATCTAATCCAAATCCCAAACCACCAGTTTTGACTGTGGCAACACAAAGTCACCGCAAGACCAGAAGGTGGACTCATGGTGTCACTGGGCCCGTTGGAACTTTTGCCAATGCTCAGGCCAAGGCAGTGGGACACCAGTGACAGGGCCTGCATTTCTGGGCGAAATGTTATTTATAGCCATGGCTGAGAGACGTCAAAGCCAACAACTAGGGCGCTGCAGCGGGGTGCCACGGCCATGCAAGCAGTTTTCACACCGCTCACCTTCACAGTCGGCCCCAGGCCACCCCTCTGCCTCCTGGCCTCGCACCGGCCCGGGGTTAAACAGCCATAGGCCGGCGCAAAAGACCACCAATGCGGCTGGGCCAGAGCACCACATGCTGAGCCAACCACTCCAAACGCCTATATAGCTTGCGTCCACCGACAGCCACGCGGGATCCCACCAGGGGCTGCTCCAGGAATCAGCAAAGTCAAGCTGGTGACAGGAAAAAATATCTGCCGGGAGTTGCTAGGGCAAATGACGCACAAACAACTCAGAATTTTCATTGGCTCGCAAGACCGGGCCTAGATGGGCGGGGCATAGGAGCCATTTCCCCGCCCTCCCCGGCTGGCGCGTGCGCGCTGCTGCCCACAGCGTGACTTTCCAGAGGGGCGGGAGCGACGCCCTCAAACCATTCGCCAACTTCTCGAGAGGGAAGGCGGGACCTTCCCCCTAATTGGCGGCCAAGCGGGAGGCCGCGGCGAATGGACCGGACGCAGTGGGCGGGCGCGAACGTGAAGTCTCCGCGGTGCCTGATGGGGCTGTTCCGAGGCCGGGAGCTGTCGCTGCGGGCGCGCCACACGTCACTGCTGCTGCCGCGTCTGCCGCCTCATGGCGGCCATCGGAGTTCACCTGGGCTGCACATCAGCCTGTGTGGCCGTCTATAAGGTGAGGACTGTATGGGAGCTGGACTACGGGGCTTAATGCCGGCCACCCTGTTCTCTGGGTGCGGGGCTAGGTTACTTACGGGGGGTTGAGAGTGTGTCGTTGGCCTCGGAACGTCTCGCACGGAGGCGTTACACCGGGGAAGCTTCCAGGCGAAGGACCGGCGGACCGGCTCAGGGCCGGACCACGCAGGCGCGCGGGGCCGAGGAAAGTTAAGGCCACTGGCGTCCCGGGCGGAGGGGGTGGGGGGCGGTCTCGGGGACGTGAGGGTCCGAGGTGGACGCGGGCGGCTCTGGGATGTGGAAAGGCGCGGGAGCTTGGAGAGGCGCGCTTCCGGGGGCGTAGTGGCTGCGGGACGCCCGCAGGGTCTCGGGTAAGTGAAGGACGCGGGAGTCAGGCAGGGGGGCGGCTCCCGAGACGTCGCGGCTGCAAGATGCCGGGAGGGGGGCCTGAAAGTCTGGGGCCCGGAGGTCTCAGGACGTCTGCCGGGAAGGGGAGGGGTGGCCGCTGTCTGGAACCCAAGCTGCTGATGCCGCGAAATGAGTTAACGTTGCGAGCGTGCTCTGTACTGCCTTGGCCTTTCTGAAAATGAGGTCTTGACAAGGCGTTGTGGCCTTCCTCTCGTCTGGGGAGAGGTGGAAGGAACGGTAATAATGAACTCCCCTGGTACCAGTCTCACGTTTGAATGTCAAGTGATTTCAAGTGATTTTATTTTGTTTTATTTTATTGAGATTTTTGTTTTTCTTACTATTTTTTATATTAATTTTTTAAATTTTTTTTACAGCACTGTTCATTTTTAAACAATATTTGCTTCCCCTCACCCCCTCAGGTGTAGTCCCCATAGTTTCCTTCACCAATGCACCCTCACCTCAGTCCCCTGTGCTCCTCCCTCCCTCCCTCTCTGATCCATCTCCCGCCTCCTCCCCTGCAGGATGTCTCTGATTTATAATCATCTGTTTTTGCTTTGTTGTGTTTTGTGCTGTTATTATTTTTTTTTTCACTGATTTCAAGTGATTTTTAAAAGACTAGTCCTACTGCTTCATTTGAAGAAAAGGATAGAAAGTTGTAGTAGTAAAGGAAGGAAGGGGATGTAGTAAATAGAACTTGTTAATTTATATGTTGTAGATTGTTACTAAGTTTGATCCGTTTATTGTCTGCGGAGCAGACCGAAAATGAGGCCTGTCTTTGTGGAATGTAGGCTTTCTGTAAAAGTCTCGAAAATGAACAGTGCTGATTAAAGCTACAAGTTAAAAATACTGAATAAAGCAATTTTTCTTTCCACATATTTGGAAAATTAACACCAGCCTGCATATTTCTGAATGTGGCTAATGAGACTGTGTATTTCATTTCAAAAGCACTAATATAGTATATTTTTCTCCAGGATGGCCGGGCTGATGTGGTTGCAAATGATGCAGGTGACAGAGTTACTCCAGCTGTTGTTGCTTACTCGGAAAATGAAGAGGTACTAATTCTCTCGTTTTTGTATTTTGAAAGAAATAAAAAGTGCATGTACTGTAATATCTCATTCTTTTTCAGGTTGTTGGATTGGCAGCAAAACAAAGTAGAATAAGAAATATTTCAAATACAGTGATGAAAGTAAAGCAGATCCTTGGCAGAAGGTATGGAATAAAATATTTTTATATAAAGTATAAAAAGATTGCTTTTATGTGTAGTAGTAAAAATTGCATAGGCTTAAGCATAAGGTAAAATGAAACTAGAAACTGTTTTGTTGTATTAATGACTGAGCCATTTCAGAATGTACTCCAGTATACTATTTCTTTGGAATATTTGTGTTGAATCTTCTCAAGAAAGGGGTTTACTCACATAGCTGTTCATGCTAACATTTTGTTAGTATTGATAAATGCCAACGTTCATTTACTTTTGATAATTTGTGTCATTCAGAGGCAATCAATTGGACTTTGCATGTTTTTATATTTCTTTGCACTGTCGTTGACTTTTACAAAATTAATTATAATTGGTCATAATTTATGTAGGAGCTACTGATTTTTTCAAGTCCTTTTGTGACACTTTCTGGGAACTAACTTTTCCAGTTGGCTTACAAATTTAATCATTAGAGGAACACCTTAATTAATGTCTTAAGTAAGAATCATGTTAATCATCTGTTGTAACTTCAATTAAAAGATTAAAGAGGCTTCCTTGCCCAGACTTCTGTCTCTTCAAATTATAGATTACCATAGTAATTAGGGCTTTTCATTTTCACTAGCGTAATAATACTTGATATATAGTGTTTTTAAATTTTCAAAGTGCTTTCATATCTACCATTTTATTTAATACTCTGAAATACCTATAAGATTGACAGGACAGATTTGTCCCTCCCCGTGCATAAATGAAAAATTCAAGGTACCCAGAAGTTATGGTATTCTTTAGTTAGCAAGGGGGTAAGCTAGAGAGGAATTCATTTTAGGTCTTCTGATCCTAGCTCTAGGTTCTTTCTACTTTGTTCTGTTGAGCATTCATTATTTATTTTATACTTACGGATTTTTTTTTATTAGCCCTTATCTGTGTTTAGTTAAACTGAACTTAATATTCATTTTTTTCCTAATATCTATGCACTAAACCAAAAACTAGTATTTTAGAATTCAAATTTTTATGGTGATTAATGTACTTCCAAATCCATTACCTGTTGACAAAATTTAGTACTGAGCTTATTGAAAATAAATCAGTTGAAAAATTTCAAAGTGTAAACTCTGGAAAAAAGGGAATTTTAGGTAGATATAGTTGTATAAATTTTGAAGCTGGAATCATTGTAAATGGCCAGCAGAATGTTTTTAAATTAAATTTTGTATTCTAAGATAATTGTAACTTTACATACTGTTGTAAAAAATAATACAAGGAAATCCATTATATTAATAGATTTACCACTTTCTCCCAATGGTTAACATCTTGTAAAATTATAAAATAGTATAACCAGGATATTGATTTTGGTACAATCAACATATAAAACATTTCTAAAGATTTATCCCCTGGTAACCCTGTTTGTTTTATGCTACTATTTTGGGGCAGATGATCGGAGTAATGATGTGGTTGTTTTCTACCATATTACACAAAAACTTTGTATTAGCAGGAACAACTTAAGCTCACTTTTCTGGCCCTGAACTGGTACCTTTTAATAAAGGAGTGCAATGGTGACAGTCAGATGGGTAACCTAGCCACCACATGCTGCTTAGGCCAAGGTTAGTAAAATATGAACTCCCTTGAGACATAATAATACACTGTGGTCCTGCTAGCACTTCTCCAGAGTGAGCTGCTTCATGGTCCAGGTATTTCCTCCTATGATCTGTCTGCTTTTAAAGAAACATTTTACAGATACACAGTTGTGCCAGGTCTCAGCTTTGGAAGCATTCTGCCCTTTGTGGAGGAGCCAGTCCTCTTGTTACCAACCCAGTATGGCCCTCTGTAGCCCCTTGTCCAGTATCCATACCGGGCCAAATTCCAGAGTGGGGCTTTCTCAGATTTGACATCCTGCCTGTTTGTGACCTACTTACAGGTAGTACCACTTAACTTGCTGCCACTATTATCCTTACACCCTCCCTGTAACTCTCATTCCCCTATGGCCTTCCAGCCAGAAATGCGGTCCTTGGACCTGGCTTCTCAGCAATTAGCCCTTTGGACCTGACTTCTCAGCAATTAGCCCTCAAAGGGAAGAATCGGCTGGCTCCTGGAAATACACTGAGCGCACACAGAGCTTCCCCACACCTTGAGATTTGCACCTTGCTGCCCAGGAGCTTCCTTCAGCTAGTCTTCCCTCCCAGTCCACTATGGCCAGTTCCAATAGCAGTGCGGGCATCCGGTGGTCCAGACAGGAGACACGAACTCTTCTCTCCATATTAGGCGAGGCAGAGTATATTCAACGCCTCCAGACGGTGCATCATAATGCAGATGTCTATCAGGCTGTGTCCAAGCGAATGCAGCAGGAAGGTTTCCGCCGCACCGAACGTCAGTGCCGTTCCAAGTTTAAAGTTCTGAAGGCATTATATTTAAAGGCATATGTTGCCCATGCTACAAGTATGGGTGATCCTCCACACTGTCCGTTTTATGATACGTTGGATCAGCTTCTCCGAAATCAGATAGTGACTGACCCAGACAACTTAATGGAGGATGCTGCTTGGGCCAAGCACTGTGATCAAAATGTAGTGGCCTCTGATACCTCGGGGGAAGAGGGAATCAGCATTCTCAGAGCACAAAGGATTCAGGCAGCAGATCATCAGCCTGTCTTGAAAACAGTTAAGGAATCAGATGAGGAATGTCAACTGAGAATCAGTGACCAGATGCAAGAAACCAGTGACCTTGATGACTCCTGGGATGAATCCTCGGGTGCAGGTAACTCCCAAGTATGTGAAGGATTGGGGTCCCAGAGTCACTTGGTTCTAAACAGCAGGCTGTTAGGATGGTATTTTGTTCAGTATAGCCCTTGATTCTGCCACCTTTCTACCACTACCTTTTTTAAATTAATGGTAAGATAAAGGGCTCCAGGTTTTTCAAAGCTCTGACCCTAAGTATATAAGATATTACTTTTAACCTAGAAGTACTCATTAGTCCCAAGCTAATTTGGGCATTATTTATAATGAGTACTTAGGAATATGTGGATATAGAGTGGGTTGAATACTATGTGGAAAGGGGTGCAGGAGGTCAAGGGGGAGGTTTGAGAGGTAAGAATGTAACAGACCAGAATATCCAGATTAAGGAAATAAATTCTTCCCAATCCCTTGTAGAAAGAGGCCTTTCCGAGAACTACCATAATTTTGTAGTTGTCTTTCAATTCTGCTGGCTCTAAACATTCCCTTAGCAGGAATGTCCTCTTTGCAACATTGTTGCTTTGTTTTTCAGGGTGCTCTCAAGGGACCCCCAGCTACAGCAGATCCCACCACCTTTTCAGAGGTGCAATTGCTCCCTGTCAGAGCAGCCCCATGACCAGACTGGCTGTGTCCGGTGAGCCCAGTCCTTGCACCAGCACGAGCCGAAACACTCCTGGGGTGGCCTCCCCACAGCGGCCTCCAGTCTCCTCCTCCAGAGTTCCTTTTGTTTCTGGTGGGGATAGGTCTTTGACCAGTGAGCCCCCTCCAAAGTGGGCAAGGCGAAGAAGGCGGTCAGTGGCCAGGACTATTGCTGCTGAGTTGGCAGAAAACAGGAGATTGGCACGGGAACTTTCAAAGCGTGAGGAAGAAAAATTGGACAGGCTGATTGCTATTGGTGAGGAGGCCAGTGCTCAGCAAGACACTGCCAACGAGCTCCGCAGGGATGCTGTGATCGCAGTCAGACGCTTGGCGACAGCCGTGGAAGAGGCCACCGGTGCTTTTCAGCTAGGGCTTGAAAAATTGCTGCAGAGGTTAATTTCAAATACCAAAAGTTAGGAACTGATTACAAAAAAGTATATTTCCTAAACTGGTAGTAACAGTTCCATCACCTGCCTTCTGGTACCCTGACTCCTTTTCCACATCCTCAGAAAAAAAAAAAATGGATGAACCATTAATATGCCAGAGTAGTAGAAATATACACGCTAGTTTCCAAGCTAATTGAAAGAATTTTCAGAAATGTGAGAGGTGGCCTAGTAGAAAATTGATGGAGCCAAGTCCAGAGAGCTCGTTACACATGGCTTTGTCTGTGTAGTTTACCTCTCTACCAGTTTCCTCATCTGTAAAATGGGGGCTAAGTAATAACTCCTGACCTGCCTACCTCACAGGGTTGTTGTGAGGATCAAATGGCTTATAGATGTGAAAGGGTTTTAAAAAAGCACTATACACTTGTAAGTTATTAATGCATATGACTTTGGCCGAGGTAAGGCTAGGTTGAGGCACATTAGTTGACAAGATGTAGAAGTAGGCTGTATATCATTACTTCATTCCTTGAAACTTTGGAGTTTGAGATCTTTATTTTATAAATTCCTCTATAGCTCATTAGGCTAAATTAGATGCAATATGTATTTGTACCTTTATCTCTTGGATTTTCACTGCTGTGTCTGTGACATACTTGCTAGTAAATACCCTTAACAGCCAAACCATTTCCCCTCCATTTTACTAGTTCTTAGTCTCTTATCACTATAAGGATATAATTAAGAACTGACAGGGAGCCATAATTGTGTGTTATGGTTCATATTGATAGTCTTTGATATTGGCTGTTTTATAAAATATTAAATGTAAGTAAATTCTTTGCATTCCATATTATGTGGGTTCCTTTACATGCATTATGTATCTCTAAGTTTTGGTTTCCATTTGAACATCATGGAAACAATTTAGGTATCACTTGGGACTAAGCTTTTAGTTAATTTCATGTTTTTTTGTTAGCCTTTTTTTCTGTCAAGTATATTACATAAAGCAAGTCCTGGGGAACTTTCCAAAGACATTTTTCAAGTGGTATAGACAAAAGTTGACCTAGTTAATGGCGCAAATGGTGTAGCAGTTGAGGGTGTTGTGTATTAAGACGGCCTGTAATAAATAACTCCTAACAAGCCCTCAACAAATACATCACCTTTTAACCTCAAAACACACATACTTCCTTTGGGAGATAATGAAGGTATTGAGCCATACTTCCAATTTACTGTAGAACAGAAACCTTTATTAATCTCCATTAAACTTAAAGCTTTTATTGGTTTACTTAGTACTTCCAGAAAATACGGTTAGAACTCTCGGAATTTAAAAGTTTCCTCCACACTAGAGGCTAGGGGGAAATCAAAGAGCTTGGGAGAGGTTTTGTTTTACATGTAGGCCTGAGTACTTCCCTAAATACAGGAAAAATGGTCAAAACAGCAATGATAACATCTGAAACCATGAGTAGATGGCAAGCAAGCAAGCAACTGGTGAATGGGGGACTGAGTCAGCTAAAGAGGTAGAATATATTGGAATCTAGCTAAAACTTCTGGGTCCTAATCCTGTCATAGTTTGTCCCATTGGGCAAACGTTTGCCCTTTTTGTGCCTCTTTAAAATGAGGGATTTGTAATAGATGATTTTTCTAGTACCTTTCAGTTCTAAAAAAATTCTATGATAAGTAGCCTAACAAATGGCAAAATAAAAATGAAATTGTAATTGAAATATGTTCAGTTATAACAGCATTTTAGTGTACATTTGAAATATTGATAGCAATTATAGGGACATGCTCTAGGTTTTAATATACTCAAGGACTTTCGAGTACCACATCAGATGATATAGTCCTTCCTTTAAAGAAACATGTTATGGTATTGAAATAGATAGTACATACACATTTTCTCAATTTTTCTAGACCATGATATGGAAGGATTTGTGTCAGTTATAACTGGATAACACTAATAGATAAGTTAGACTTTCTGGAAAAGCAAGGAAGTACTTGGAGAATTAGGCCTGTGCTTTATTAATCTATTAACGGTAGCAAAGTATGTACTCAAGGATTTACTTGAGGTAAAAAGTGCTAAATTATAAAAGTGGAATTAAAATGGAGGCAGTAGTGTGAAAATCTAGTGGATGAAATAAGCTTAATGTGGGACAAAAGCTAAAGGAAAATATTTGGAAGAAAGTAACACAAATTGGTTAAAATACTAAGAGAAGGAAAGTTGCAGTAAGGGGAGATTATGTGGAACACCAACCTAGGAATCCTTCCTAAGCTCTTAGCCCCACCATTACTACCTGTCCATCCTTAGCAAGGTCATTTCACCATTCTGCAGCTCAGGTTCCTAGAAAATGGAAAACTAATAACTGTCCAGTACCTCACAGGAATGCTGTGAGGGTCAAAACCAATGAATAAAAATACTTTCAGGACTAGAATGCACTATCCTGTGACAATAGTAAAGAAGATTCTATAGCACATTAGTGTCTATATGTGCCCTGACTTTGGACTGCAAAATTCATTTAACAAAGGAAGAGGAAGAGCGATGACCTTGCTGGGAAAGGTGGTGAGGCGATGGTAGGATGTATGTGCTGCCTCCTGAAGACAGTCATGTAAATGAGGTGCTGTGTGTATCACCCTCCCACCACTCTGTTTTTCTGTTAAGTAATTGGATCCTGGTGTGGACAAATAAAGCTTTTACTTGTATGTAGTTGTGGGTCAGTCCCCTGTTTTCTGGCGTTACCGTGATCATTTCTCATCACCATCCTCTGCTGTGTGCTCCTCTGCTAGCTAATCTTCAGTGTCTTGCATATATATGACCCTAAAAGCTACCTGTGTTTCCTTCCTCACATGAGAAAGGCCCTCTTTACATGACAGTTGAGAAATTTTCCATATCTAAGAGTTCTATTAATCCCATAAAATATCCTTTCCTGGCAAATTATTTTGTTTGAGTGATAGATGACCTTTACATAGGATAAATTACCCTGGTTGGCTTAAATTCTGTTCTCAACAGAACCATTAAGTGTCATCCTGAAATTGTAATATTAGTGTAAAAAATTATGGGCACAATTCATCTTTGTTTCTTAACCCTTAAAATAATTGCCCAGGGTGTCTATATATTAGATTTAGAAAAAGAGGGTTTAGTGAAAAGGATATTGAAAGACCTGAATTCCAGTCAACTTTGTGGTCCTTAGTCATGTGACTTCAGACAAGCTAATTACCTGTTTCCTATCAATTTGTAAGTGCTAACTGCTAGTATTCCAGACAGTTTTAAGCTGAATTAATCCATTTTAACCTCCTTTTGTCTTCCTCTTATTCATACAGGTTGCAGTCTCAAATGTTTAGTAATCCTTCAATCATTAGCCTGTAATTTTCAGTCTTGTTGAACATTTAAGACTGGTCTGTAAACAGAATTGTCACAGCTCCCTTAGAAAAGGGCTTACTAGAAGTCTAATTCATCTTAATTGCTAGGTGAAATTGAGTCAAGGATCAAGGACTCCTATCTGTTCAAGGTGCAGAAGTGCTTTAGTCATTTGCCATCTTAGTGCCAGGCAGTGGTACAGTGTAAATAAGCCTGGTAGAGATGACTTCGAATCAAGTACTGTCAATACCCCTTATTATTTTCTCCCTATAAACCTGTTAAACCTAAATTAATACCTGTCAAACTAACCCCACTTAGGCATTGTGAAGACCAAATGAGGTAATAAATGTGAAAACATTTTGTAGTTTGCATAAATTGGTATTACTATTTTGAGCAACAAAACTCATTTTAATTTTTTCATTGCCGTGCACAATTATTTAATATCTATTATGTACAGGACATTATATATATATATCTATATATATACTATAGTACTCTGTACCTTTCTGTATGTAACATTCATGCTTTTGCTCAATGTTTCGGGTTTGAATGTTAATTCATGTTCAGAAACCAAGCAACAAGTGTGGTGTTAGGCACTCTGATTTGCCCTGACTTTGCAATCTTACATCCTTTTGTCCTTTTCCTCTCAGTGGTTGGGTCTTCAGAATCAGATGTGAAAGTATATGACATAAACGTTGATATTATGAAAAAGCACCCCCAAATGTATAACATCTGTTAATAGCAGCAGGATCAGAACAAGTAAGAGCTATTTACCGTGAAATGCAAAGATTAACAATAAGAGAATTGCTATAACCTTTGTAAATAGTCCATTTAATTCTGTTGTCTGATATTTGAAATTTTTTTTAATAATAAGCAATTTTAAAAACATTTTCATATTTTTTGCTGGTATTGAAAAATATAATCTCTTTTAAGCCTTATATATTAACAATATTAATTTTAATACTTAATTATTTTGTCTTTATGGACAGCTCTGATGATCCACAAGCTCAGAAATACATCGCGGAAAGTAAATGTTTAGTGAGTATAATACTATCATTACTTCCCTATTATACAGAGTAACTAGTAAGGTCATAATTTATAATATTGATTTGGAACTTTGCATTTTTATTAAAATTATTTCTTGTTTAAGACACTTATAATTTCTTTATAGGTCATTGAAAAAAATGGGAAATTACGATATGAAATAGATACTGGAGAAGAAACAAAATTTGTTAATCCAGAAGATGTTGCCAGACTGATATTTAGCAAAATGAAAGGTACTGAACAAAAAGAGAAGATCTTTTAAAAGTTCCTCTTAAAAAAAAGAGTTAGAGGTATTTTTTGATTTGGGGAAAATTGGAGTGAGCAGGTTAGCAGTAAGGAGATCTAAACTCTAGACCTGATTGGGCCTCTCCTTGCCTATGTGACCTTGGTTAAATGACTTACCTTCTCTGACTTCAGTTTCCCTAGGAGTAATTCAGATAGACTGGGCCAGGTTAGCATATTGAAAAATTCTATAAGTTGCCAAGCTTGGTGAATAGTGAGAATTATACCTCTCTCGGCAAGGCTGACATTGCACTCCCAACAGTCATTAGGCAAAGCTGAGTGACTTTCTGTGGAACAATTGGGGAAATTGTGAAGTAGATTATTTTAAATTTTACTTGAGCTCTGGAATTATGTTTAAATTTGCAAGAAGGAAGACAGCCCTTTAATATGTAGAACTAACATGCTATTATGTCTTCACATTGATGCATTAGAAATTCATTCTAAATTGGGAGATGGTAGAAACTTTGAAGCCTAGTTCCCGGTCCACAAATGATATACAGAACCACAAAAGGTAGTAGTAGTACATGATTTAAAAGACCAAGCAAAGAAAATCAGTAGAGGTGGGAGAAGGGGCAATCAATTGAATTAGAAAATCTTGATAGTGAGAAAAACTTTGGCACAAATTAATAAACCTCAGAAAGTCATGAAATATTTTTGTATTATCAGAATTTATTTATTTATTTTTTATATATAGAAACAGCACATTCTGTCTTGGGCTCAGATGCAAATGATGTTGTTATTACTGTTCCATTTGATTTTGGGGAAAAGCAGAAAAATTCTCTTGGGTAAGTATAATATGGACTTTATCTATGCTTAGTTATAGGAAATACAAATTTCACAATATCACTATAGTAGAAGATCAAATTTTATCTGAAAATACCTTATACAATAAAATTATTTGTAAATACAATGTGTATATTTATATAGGTAGATAGTATGCTAAAAAACGTGGTGTAATGATCATTAATATTTCCTATCTTTTATGAAATGCCAAAAGAACATAATAGTAGATGTAGTTTCATAGCTTTTTTGATTGGAAATGTTTTTAATTATCAGGTAAAGTTTATATTTATGGATCAGTTTGTCCTAGTTTCATGTAACTAGCATTTATGTGGGAATTATATAAAAATACGGAATTTTAGAAAATATTTGCAATTATTTTTTCTTTCTCCTTAGACATAAACATCTAAACAGAAAGTTGCGTTTAGTTTTTACACACCACTAGGTAAATTTAATTGGTGAGCATGCATACTTTTGCATATAGAGTTTTCTATGGGACTTTGGGAAACATCTAAATTACTTCTGGGGTAGAGAGTTGCTTTATTTATTTGACTTTATAGAATGTCAAAGACTGATCCTATATGAAAGAAATTGGAAAAGTTTAAAGGTGTTACAGATTTGTGTTAATCTCTTTCTAAATTTGTAAGCATGGACTTTTTGAGAGCTTTCTTTTCCTTATTCAATATAAACATGTTTTATTTTTGTAAAAAAAAAGACTTATTATTTTAGACAGAAAATGATCTACTTCTATACTTATTTCCATTTCTGTGTTCTATTATCTTGCTTCTAAAGATCACTAACCTTCATGTTTTACTTGCAAAGTATTATGTGCTATTGATTAAAATCTTGAGCAGAGCATTTCTAAAAACACAGATTTGAACTTGTAATATTAAATTCATCAAAAGCAAATTGTCCACAGGGAAGCTGCCAGAGCTGCTGGGTTTAATGTTTTGCGGCTAATCCATGAACCATCTGCAGCTCTTCTGGCTTATGGAATTGGGCAAGACTCTCCCACTGGAAAAAGGTAAAAACCATGTTTGCAGCTTCAAGTTCTTCACTGCAGAAAAAAATTTAGATTATAGCAACTGTGTCAATAGGGATTGTTCTGTAATGCATTGATTCCAAGCCTTTATGGATGAAAAGACATCAAAACTCTTACCTAGAGTTTTTAAATAGATGAGAAAGATGTCCTAGGAAATCAGAGAAAGGGCATAACAGAGGGAAGAGTGAACTTTTCTGGCCTTTGTTACCCAAATTTTTTTCTCTTCGGATAAAGACTTGAAATTTTTAAGTTCAACCAAGTTTTGTTTTTTTTTTTTAAGTTCAGCCAAGTTTTAACTCAAATAAATACACTGTTAATTTTACTACCAATTCCAGTTATTAAACATGTTTAGAAATAGTGAGTACTTTTATATGTATTTGTCTTGGTAGGAGATGGGGTAAAATCTAGCATGGAAATTTTAAGACTTCTTTTGTATGAAATAGTATGACAAACTCCTAATTTACTCACCAAATTTGCCTAATAGGCCTGGCATATAGTGCAACTATGGGGGAAATTAATTCAGACCTGACATCATGCAACTTTAGAGAAATTAGTTCAGATATGTTAATTTTCCCTGATTATTTTACTTCTCATATTTCACAGAATCTAGGATATGTATATCACTGGGAAATTATTTTTAAACTAACTAGATAAATGTAGGATATCAGAAATTATGAACTTTGATACACGGGAAATTAACTTCCAGTTTGTGCAGAATGTGTTCTGTTTTTGCAGAATGTAACATTGCAATAATGACTTGAATAACATTAACACAAAATTTCTTTATTTGATTCTTTTATAATTTGGTGGGGATTTTTACTGATGTTGTTATGTTTATTTGTTTTTTGCATAGAAGAACTGGAGTGTAGGCCAGAGATGTAGGGAGTGAGAGGATTCACCAGAGACAGAGTGCGGAGCAGAACAGGTAGATTTACTGAAATGTACTGATAAAGGGAGTACTGGTGAGACAGGAGAGGTCTACTGTGCCATATGCAAGTTAGTTCCCTGGCCAGGGATAGAACTCAGGCGGTAGCACTGATAGTGCTGAGACCACTAGGCCACCAGGGAGGTCCGCTTATAATTTGTTATAATTACAGTCTCTATTTCGAAAAATTAATGTTCTGAACTCCATTTGCCTAGAAGAATACAGTTTTACCAGCACAATGAAGCAAAAAAGAATTTTGACTTAGAATTAGAAGATCTGAGTTCTAGATTTGATTTATCACTGAGTCATGACTTGGTTATTTGTGTGAGAGATTTTCAGTTTTTTAATTTGTGATTTACAATGGTTAAAATAAGTGACTTCTAATGCCCAAGCAGGCTTTAAAATGTAATTCTTTCGGACCTCCCCGGTGGCACAGCGGTTGAGCGCTGGGTTGCGAAGCTGCCTGCAGTCTCTGCAGCGCTGGTTCGATTCCCGGCTGCTCCCCGGCCACCAGAGGAGGGTCCCACATGGCGTGCAGACCTCTCCTGCTGCCTGCTGCTCCCCTCAGCAGTGTACTTTGGTCTTTCTGCCTGCTCTGCTCCCCGCTCTGGCTCTGGTGAATTCTCTCACCCTCCCACGCTTCTGACTGTACCCAGTGCTTGTATGAATAAATAAATAAATCTTAAAAAAAAATATATATATATATATATAATATACAAAAAAAATAAATAAAATAAATTAAAAAAAATAAAATGTAATTCTTTCATAATTCATGCTCTCTTTCTTTTCAGCAATATTTTGGTGTTTAAACTTGGAGGAACATCCTTATCTATAAGTGTCATAGAGGTTAACAGTGGAATATATCGAGTTCTTTCAACAAATACTGATGACAACATTGGAGGTATACATTTCACAGAAACCTTAGCACAGTATCTAGCTTCTGAGTTTCAGAGGTGGGTATTAATGGGCTTGATGATATATCTTAATTGAATTTCTCTTCAAGTTTCTTTATTCCTGATTTATTTTAAATTGCTGTGCTTCAGAGGCTCGGAGGAGGATGTTTTTTCATTGAATTGCCTGTATTTGTCTATAGAATTAAAATGGCATGTCTAGGGGAAACAGAAGCCAAACAGTTGAGGGGAAACAGAAGCCAAATTGCCCAGCAATGTGCTTGGGTTTGTATTTAGTGTGAGGGGCCGCCAGAAATTGAACTGTGTGAATTTGAATCATTGTTTTAATTCTTCATGTGCTATTCTTATGTCTACATAAGGGACACACTGAGAACTCACTAACTTCTGAACTGTTTTTAATAGTTTATATCTGATGGAGATTACATTGTGTTATAGTCACCTTCCAGTGACTTAATGTTTTATATAGTGTTCATTTAATTACTGATCTGCCTATCATGGGAATACTGTAGTATTTTGGTGGAAATGATTCTAATCCTATTTGGGACATCAAAGTCAAATATATAAAGGTTATATTTTGCACATTGCTACTCTAAAAAAATAAGGTAGCTTCAGGAGTATTTTTATCAATTTGATTAAACTGACTGGCTAAAAGTCTTGAAAAATTATTTATTTGTTTAATAAATACCTATACTTTTTTGTTATAAATGTGTTCCAACTCAAGGTGTAGAGCATTGTTCATTTTACTACAAGTCCAGTTATTAAACATCTTTAGAAACTGAGCTGTTGATCACTACTTAGAGTGAGTTTTAAAAATTAGCTATTTTGGCGATATTTTGTTCAATTTCTTTGGAGAAGCAATATATTTTTTTTAATGCTGGACAGAAATTTTATGCTATTAAGCAATGAGTGTGCTATGATTGCAAAAGGTGAGATGTGAACTTTGACCCCATTACATAAATCTTCAACCTTTTCTCACCTGCAAAAAGATGACAGCTACTCTGTTTTCTTCTGTGATTGTGGTTATAAAGTTCAGCAAGCAGCTCAAAATTTTAAGTATATTAGTTATTCATTTTTCTTAAGGAAATCCTTCTTTTAATTGCAGAGACTTTTAGGAAATTTTAGAGGGTTGAAAGACACATACTAAGATCTGGTATTAATGTTGATTCATGAGATTATTGTTATCCCAATAGGGATTATCCAGATTTCTTTTATAATAAATTCTAAATAACCTAGTAATTTTTAAATTTCAAAGACTTTATTTTTAATTTAGATCTTTCAAACATGATGTGAAAGGAAATGCCCGAGCCATGATGAAATTGATGAACAGTGCTGACATTGCAAAACATTCTTTGTCAACCTTAGGAAGTGCTAATTGTTTCCTTGATTCATTATATGAAGGTCAAGATTTTGACTGCAATGTGTCCAGGTAAAAACTAAAGTTCAAAAAAATTTTTTAACAATACCTAGTGCATTCATAGTTAGGTAGAATTCTTCCATTTTGGGTGTTTTGTTTGTTCCGTAGAGTTATATTAGCTATCAGTCAGTAGGAGAGCTTTCCTATCTTTACTTCTGGGGTCCAATTTTTGCCACACTAAACTGTTCCCAAAGCAATTATATCAGTTGTGATTGCTTGCCCTGTTATTTTACAACTATAAATAGCAGTGTGTGAAAAAAGCATCCTAGATCTTTTAAAGATAGGTAAGAGAAGATTTAAAGTTAGAATTTTTAAAATTTCTCTTACAGAATTGATCTTACCCATGTAGCCCCTTATTCTAATAACTTTTTTGCTCAGGTTTAGTGTGTATAAAATTGTTTTAAATACTTAGGTGGGGCATCCCTGGTGGCCAGGGGGTTAAGTTTCAGCACTATGAAGCTATGAGCGAGTTTGATCCCTAGCCAGGTATCTAACCCTCGTGGCGCAGCAGACCTCTCCTGTCTCGCCTGCTGCTCCCCTCAGCAGTGTATTTCAGTAGATCTGCCTGTTCTTCTCCCCACTCTGTCTCTGGTGAATCTTCTCTTCCCTGCACCTCTAGCATACACCCCAGCTCTTGTATGTATAAATAAACAAATCTTTAAAAATAAATAAATATTTAAGTCTTTTATGTAACCCAAAACATTGTTTATTAATGGACTTGCATCTTTACCCAGAAAGTCCAAAGGGAAAACATTACCATATCATTTTGTGTTACATACTGCTAGCAATAATAATAACTGCCATTAGCTAACATTATTTAAACTTCCCGACAACTCGTGACTTGGAAACAAAATGAAAATTTCCACCATTGTACTAACTGCACTATTTTCTGAACACTGACTCTTTAAAAAATTTTCTCTTCATCTGATCTTTGTAGTTTAGCTTTATCTGTACTATCCATTAACATAGCCACTAGCCACTTGTGTCTATTTATATTTAAATTAATTAGAAGTAAATAATATTAAGAATTTGATTTCTCGGTGGCACTCATCAAAGTTCATGTCGCTAATACCTTACAGAAAGTTCTTTTGAGTAGCATAGCTCTAGAGAGATCAATCTATAAACCAGAAGCTTAAAAAGGTGTTGAATTGAAATCTCTTCCATGGACAGAGATTTTTAATATTGTTTCTATTTCCAGAATTCCTAACTTCGTGCTAAGTTTACCCACATACTCAGAATGTTTTGTTATTAATTAAAAAATAGAATTTATCAGTAAATAAATTATTTAATAATTTGTTACTAATAAGGAAATAATTTCTGATTTTTCATTAAGAAAATGTTGGCTCTATCACTAAGATTTCAGCTGTAAAGTTTGTTTCATTATCTAGAGATAATACAAATAAATTTAAAAATCAGTCCTCTGCATTCTGAAGTTCAGCATAAAATAGGGAGTATGTCTTTTATGAACATAGCTTTACTGAAATTATACCTGACTCAAATTTCTCAGGTAGCGCAAAAGAGCTCAACCATGTGCAACCTAGTCTCAGTCGATGAAAAAAATGAGAAATAATTTTAAAAACTCGTAAAAATTGGAAAACTTCCATTTGGATCAATGCATTTATTGTTGAGAATGCCATACTTTGTGTGTGTGTCTAGTTTTTTGATAGCTTTAAGTAGTCCACAGCAAGACTCCCCCACCTGAGTTTGATATTAAATGTCTTCAATACATTTGTAGATAAATAACTTAGGTATTCCCCTCCCCCCAGCCTTGTGGGTTTGTACTGCTGGGTATTAAATTTCCTGTTCTGGTCATAAACCTATTAAGAAAACTTGTCTCATTACGTTTTGTCTTAGCTCTTTACATATACTAAGCCTTTTCCCTGTGTCTTTCTCTTCTCTGTGTATGTGTTTGTGCTCTACAGAGCAAGATTTGAGCTTCTCTGTTCTCCGCTTTTTAATAAGTGCATAGATGCAATCAGAGAACTCTTAGTACAAAGTGGATTTTCAGCGGATGATATCAACAAGGTAATTAATACTTTCTATTTTTCTTAATTTAGGAGTGGTTTCACACTTGAAATTTAGGAAATAGAGCATTAGTACTGAAAGAATACTTACATGTGCTAGGCATTGTGCTAGGTGTTTGGGGATAAGGAGGTAGATTATGCAGAATAAGACATACAGTAAGTATAATGTAGCAAGGTAGTTGTAAGGAAGTGAATGAGTTTGGACACAGAGCTACTTGAATTGGAAGGCTCATGGTATTAGTTTGCTAGCCTAGGCAAGTCATTTAATTTCCTAAGGCTTACTTGTCTCTTCTTATTAGGAAGATGAGTAAGACTTACCTTCTAAGTATTATAACTTATTCTGTAGTATTGTTAAGTGGATTGGATGAAATATGTATGGCACAGTGAGTGACATATGTGACATAGTGTAGTCATCAGTTACTGTAGTTTTCTTCCTTTATTAACTGGTCTCTAAGCCCTAACTTTTAGGTCTCATAAGTGAATCAGTTCTCAATTGCTTGAATTAAAGTTGAACACATCCTTAGGATTAAAAACTTTGTTAAATATTCACTCCAGATACTCCTAAACTATAGACACTTAAGAACTTAAAATGTGGAGTATCTCTTTAGTTTGTTGACTTAGCTACAATAACAATGGCCCATATCAAGGTGATTTTCTGCAGTAAACATTTTTCTCATCTTTGATACACGTTGGAAGTTGGGTGTAGGTCAACTGCTATGATTCTTTTCTACATGTTTCTCATTCAGAGAGCCGGGTTAGAGTAGTAGTAATATGGGAAATACAGTTCTAGCAGAGGGAAAAGTGGGAGGGAACAGAACATGCTTCAGCTTGGATTTGGTGTGCTTTAGACTACTCACATTTCATTTAGCCGAAGCTGAAGATTCGGGCCAGACCTGACAATAGGACATGGAAATCTACTCCTACAGAGAAGGGTTGCAAAGTCAGAACTAATGGAAATGGGCGGAGATGTATAATCCTCTTAAAGGGAAGAGGGAGGGAAAGCCGGCTTTATATGCATTAAAACACTTAATCCTCACTGTAGCACCAGAAGCTATATACTATTTCCATTTTCTGGTGAGGAAATTAAGAGATTTTGAAGAGGTTAAGTACTGTTTGAAGGCTGGCGTGTAGGTAAGGAAGCTAGGACTAGAACTCAGGCAGTCTGCCTTGGTAACCCACACTTTAATTCTCACGAGCCCATTGCCTTTTTCTAGAATTTGAAGTCTATTCTCAGTTTTTTTGTTTCCTATGGTCCTGTAGGGACTCATGAATGGAAGCCCCTTTGGCTATCAGTTAGGGGCCCATTCCTCAGGTGACAAGTTGGGGCACTAGATGTGGACAAGCTTATAAAGGAGTTTCATATGAATTTCTTCAGTGATAACAGATTAATTAAATGGTACCAGAAACTTAAGGTGCTGTTTTGTAAAATATCTTTTTTTCCTCAAGAAAATAGTTGTTCTTAATTGGTTCATTCATCATGAAGACAAGAGTCTCTTTTTTCACAAAGGGAGAATGAGATTATTTTGTCACAAACGTGCTATAATATTTATGTAGAACATTATAATGTATTAATTGAAATGAATATTTGTGGTTAATACTTGTGTGTCATTTTATATGGTATGTATAACATAAAATAATGTTAAAATAGGCATTTTTTATTTTACCATTTTCATGTGATAAAGATAGCCTAGCCTATTACATTGAATAATGAGGAACAAAAAATGAAAAATGGAAAATTAATTTTATTTTCTAGGTTGTCCTTTGTGGAGGGTCTTCTCGAATTCCAAGACTACAGCAACTGATAAAAGATCTTTTCCCAGCTGTTGAGCTTCTAAATTCCATTCCTCCTGATGAGGTTATCCCTATTGGTGCTGCTATAGAAGCAGGAATTCTTATTGGGAAAGAAAGCCTTTCAGTGGAAGACTCTCTTAAGATAGAGTGTTCAGCCAAAGATATATTAGTTAAGGTATGTTTAGCTTTACTTTTTCATGAAAGTGTAATAGGGTGGTCCCCAAGAAAGGGGAAGGCCCCTCTCCCTGCCCTGTAACATAAGTACTTCAAGTTTATTGTCATAAATTTTCAACATATCATGTTTTCATAATAAAATTTTGTATACTAGTAAAAATATTTAAATTTATAGTTTTACTCCTTTTTAAAAAGATTTATTTTATTTATTTAGGCATACAAGAACTGGGGTGTAGGCCAGAGGTGGGGGTGGGGTGAGAAGATTCACCAGAGACAGAATGGGGAGCACAACAGGCAAATCTACTGAAATACACTGCTGAGAGGAGCATCTGGCAAGACAGGAGAGGTCTGCTGTGCCATGTGGGTAGCTCCCTGGCCGGGGATCAAACTCATGCTGCAGTGGCTGGTTATAGCTTGATATTGCTGAGACTTAACCCCTGTGCCACCAGGGAGGCCCTATATTTTTACTCTTTTTTAAAGAATATTTATACATACAAGAACTGTGGTGAAAGCCAGAGGTATGGGGGGTAAGAGGATTCACCAGAGAGAGTGGGGAGCAGAACAGGCAGAGGTACTGAAATTCACTGCTGAGGGGAGCAGTGGGTCAGTCAGGAGGTCTGCTGGGCCATGTGGGTTGCTCCCTGGTCAGAAGAGGATTAAACTTGGGCTGTAATAGCTGGCAGTATCTTGATAGAGCTGCCCTTAACCCCTGCGCCACCAAGGAGGCCCCTATAATTTTACTTTTAATGAATTTTTTATATTCCTGTGTTTAATACTTAGCTAACATGTTAATTTCTCAATACTATGTAATTTTAATCCTTAATTTCTAATACAGATAGGTATGTGTTTCAGGTTTTTTTTTAAAATAAAGTGGTTGGTACTAAGAATCAGTTCTATTTTCTTCTCTTGGCTTTTGTATAGTTTTTAGATTATCAGCAAGGAATATATATTGCATTTATAATAGTGATTTAAAGTGATTTTTTTTTAATTATAAAGATAAGTGCATGTTATTTTCTTCCTTATTAGGGAGTGGATGAATCAGGAGCCAACAGTTTCACAGTACTATTTCCATCAGGGACTCCTTTGCCAGCTCGAAGACAACACACATTACAAGCCCCTGGAAGTATATCATCAGTATGCCTTGAACTCTATGAGTCTGAGGGGGAAAACTCTGCAAAAGAGGAAAATAAATTTGCACAGGTAAATACATGAAATGAAACAATGTGTTAGTCACATGAAACTAGTTAGCTTGTTTTCTGAATTAGATTATCTTAATTTCAATAAAGATGTATATAGGGTACTTAATACATTTTTAGGAATGGATTACTTCTACTTACTCATTTTTGAAAGAGAGAATAAATAGGTGATTTTAATTTGAAAGAGCTGTAGGAAAATAGGAACAAAAGATAATTTGTCTTTATATTGTTTCTGTTTGTGCTTTTAACATTCTTCGTAATAAGGTAAGTGACAGGAGAAATTACAGAATTTTGTTTGTCAAATGCCAGGTGTACATACAGGCTCATGGTAGTAAAGACATTATTGTCTTAGTCGAGCTAAGATTTCTCCTCAGGTTGTTTTTCATTTGCAGACCAATATTCTTGCCATTATACCATTCTGCCTCTGTTTCAGAATAACTTTGCTTTTCCATAATGTCACTTGCATATTTCACACTATGTGGTCCGCTGCATCCTTTAAAAAGAGTGAAGTGGAACCATTTTATTTGCATAGAAATATGCCCAAGAAATATACTTACTTTAAAAGGCATACACAGGACTATAGACCATTTTACAATATGATGTTATTTGTGTTTAAATAAAAAGAGAAAAGGGAGGAGAGTGGTGTTTGGGTTGATCTGTGTTTTTAGACATCCATGCATGGATACAGAAGAAATTACAAGTATTTGGGGTTTCTTTGTTTTTTGTTTTTTTTTTAAGATTTATTTATTTATGCATACAAGAGCTGGGGTACAAGCCAGAGCTGCAGGGTGGTGAGAGGATTCACCAGAGACAGAGTAGGGAACAGAGCAGACAGACTGAATGAAACACACTGCTGAGGGGAGCAGCGGGCAGGGCAGGAGAGGTCTGCTTCGCCATGTGGGTTGCTCCCTGGCCGGCCAGGGATCGAACTCATGCTGCAGAGGCTGCGGATTGCTTCATAGTGCGGTGCTTAACCCCTTGCGCCACCAGGGAGGCCAAGAAATTACAAGTATTTGAACTGTATTCAGGAAATTTAGTGAGTAGGTAGGTAGGTTTGAGGATACCAAGAGGGGTTTTCTATTTTCTGACTCTTTATGCTTAATTTTTTTTAAAGATTCATTTATTTATGCATACAAGAGCAGGGGTGTAGGCCAGAGGTGTGGGAGGGTGAGAGGATTCAGCAGAGACAGATTAGGGAACAGAACAGGCAGATCTACAGAAATACACTGCTGAGGGGAGCAGCGGGCAAGACAGGAGAAGTCTGCTGCACTATGTGGGTCACCTCCCTGGCTGCCTGGGGACTCAAACTCCTGCTGCAGTGACTGGTGATAGCTTGATAGTGCTGTCTTTAACAACCCTGCAACACCAGGGAGGCTCTATATGGAATTTTTTTTATAATTAGCACAGGATATGAGCATAAATTACTTTTGTAAAAATAAAACAAATGTAGATAACATGAAAATGTGTAGAATCTCTAGCATTATGTCTATTTTCTAATTCCAGCAAAAGAATAATGAAAATATATACATATATAATATGTCTGGGCTCCACCTCACATTTAACATCTTGGAATCTACTGAGTTAACTTAAAATTTTTAAACACTCCTCAAGATGATTCATTAAAATTATTTAACACTCCTTAAAAAACTTTTTTTTTTGGTAGAACTGGGGTGTAGGCCAGAGGTATGGGGTTGAGTGGATTCACCAGAGATAGAGTGGAAAGCAAAACAGGAGGATTTTACTGAAATACACTGCTAAGGGGAGCAGCTTTTGAGACAGGAGAGGTCTGCTGCGCCATGTGGGTTATCTCCCTGGCCTGGGATAGAACTCAGGCCATAGTGGTGATAGCAATGAGACAAATCCCTAGGCCACCAGGAGGCCTACACACTTTTTTATGCACCAGATTCTCATACTTGGGGTTAAAGATGTCAGTCTTACTGTTTCATTAGCTGAACATTTGTTACCTTTTTTCTTCACACACTATTCTGATACTGCAACTTCTATCATTGTAACCTAACTTACAGATGTCACAAGGAGGAGTTAGTCACAAAAGACTGAATTTAAAGAGGATCATTTGGAGATCCTATCAGTTCTAACCTTCTCATTTTGCATATGAGTAAATCATATGTTAGTATCTTGCCCGAGGTCGTAAAACTTAATATTGGCAAAATCTGAGTAATCAGTTCCCACTTTGGTTTATTTGTATACCTTTCTTTAGAAAACCAGGGTATTTTGTAGTAAATTTGTTAATATCTCTTACTAAAAAATTGTAATTTTTGTTTTATAAGACTTTGTCCACATGTTTAAGTACACTTTACAAGTGTACTTAAAATACTTGTACTTATAAATATGTATAGAAGATTTAACAAAAATTTACATTTTACTGGTAATGACCTAATTACCTGAAAGAATAATCTTTATTTTCTGAGACAAATAGTACTTCATAGAAACAGTCATTTAAATCTAGGACATGACATTTAAGAAGAACAAATATATTAGTTATTTTACATGCTTTCCTTCTAGAGAACACATTTTTGGTTAAGAATACCTAACTCCTCTTCTCTGAATTCCATTTAAATGATAGGAGAGGGTCTCCCCTGGTGGCTCAGGCAGTTGAGCTCAGCGCTGTGAAGCTGTCCGCAGCCTCTGCAATGCCGGTTTGATTCCCACATGGCGCGGCAGACCTCTCCTGTCTTGCCCGCTGCTCCCCTTAGCAGTGTATTTCGGTCAGTCTGCCTGTTGTGAATCCACACTCTCTCTGGTGAATCCTCTCACCCTCCCACACAGCTGGCCTATACCCCGTTCTTGTATGCATGAATAAATAAACACACAAACAAACAAATAAATGGTAGGGGAATTGAAAACTGACACATTTAAATGGTTTAATTTTGTAATAGCAAGATTTAGTCTGCTGGAATATTTGATCATCAATTCATTAATATGTTAAAATAATGAATTTTTTTGTATTATTTTTGCATAAACAGGTTGTACTCCAGGATTTAGATAAAAAAGAAAATGGATTACGTGATATATTAGCTGTTCTTACTATGAAAAGGTAAAAAATTATATTACTTCTGATGTTAAGAAAACTCTTTGAGACTAAATTTTGTTGTTCCCTTATTGATTCTCCATCCATTTTCATTCCGGGAAAATTATTATAAACTCTTTAATTATTTTGGATGTAATAAACCTTGTAATACTAATCCATGCTAATTAGTGACATAATTTTTATCAGTTTCAAACATAATTTTCTGAGGTTTATGTAATATTATTTATCTAGCAAAGGAAAAAGTTTTTTTCTCTATTATAGACATTTCTCTGGGAAATAAATTAGTAACTAAATCCAGGTATTACCAGATTTCCCTAACAATAGTTCATCCTTAGCACTGTGTTTTGCAAGTAAATCATTTCCAAATTAACATTATAAGCAACTCATTCCATCAGCCATACTTAGGAAGAATAAAGAATTCATTAGGGTGGGTTTGCCTTGACCTGGGCTTGAAAATGGCATGATGCATCTTGAACTTACATAAAGTCTTAATGGTAAGATCTATTTATCATCATTGGTTTTCAAGGAATACAACTTTTGCCTCAGTGGTGTAGAAGGAAACTTGTAGGTACCACTATCTAATCATAGCATCTGATACTAAGGAGACTGAAAAAAATGTTTATCTTAATAGTCTTCTTTGGAAAAGTTAAAACTATCTCTTGCCTATTCAGTCCTTAAATAATTTCTTAAGGACTTCTGTTTTATAAAATGAGCTTATGAATTGTTACTTTTTGTTTGTTTAGGGATGGATCTTTACATGTGACATGCACAGATCAAGAGACTGGAAAATGTGAAGCTATCACTATTGAGGTGGCATCTTAGTGTTTTAGAGAAACCATGAATTTTTTAAAACCAGAATATCAACATTATTTGGTTTTGTTTATAAGTGATGTTTATATTAAAATACTTTTTGAATGAACTTTATAATCTGTGTTTCTATTAAGCTACAATACATTAGTAAGTGTTGGAACCTTTTTGTTTTTCATTCAAGATGAAATATTAGTAGGAAATATAAGAAATTTTTTTGTTATGAAGCAATTTAGAATTAACTCAAGTTGATTGAAGGACATTTTACTAGAAATTTGGCATTGTAAAAATTTGCTTCCATGACTTCTAATTTCAATAAGTATTTTATTATTTTTTTTTAAATATTTATTTATACAAGCATTGGGGTACAGGCTAGAGGCACGGGAGGGTGAGAGAATTCACCAGGGACAGAGCAGGGACCAGGCAAAAGGACTGAAGTACACTGCTGAGGGGAGCAGCAGGCAAGACAGGAGAGGTCTGGCTTGGCCATGTGGGAATCTCCCTGGCAGGCCGGGAATAGAACCGGTGCTGCAGAGGCTGCAGCTTCACAGCACTATGCTCAACCCGCTGCCTCACCGGGGAGTCTTCAATAAGTATTTTATTCTTATTGAATAAGAGAACATTTTAAAGGTATTTGATATTAGATCTAAAAAATTGCAGAACCATATGAAAAGATGCCATTTTTGCTTTAAAAAAGTAAACTCACAAATTCAGCAATGGTGTTTGTGTGTGATACACACATAGAAAAAGTGTCAAAAGCCAGAGTTAAAAAGCTGCTTTTTGTGAAAGGACATACTAGGGGAGGCACTTTTCTTTTTATAATTTTGCTCAGTTTGAGTTTTTCCTCTAACAAACATGTTTCTTTTGCCATTAATTTTTTTTTTTTAAATAAGAGATTGCTAGCCACATTCTGTTCATCAGAGAACATTCACTAGTTCATTGAAATGTTGATGAAAACACTTGTATCTCTTAAGTTCAAATAAAAACAACCCGCTGAAGACTAATCTGCCCATGTTGAGGGGAAAGTTGAAAAGTAAGCAGTGCACAACAGACTCTAGATTTTCCAAGGAGAGGATTTTCCATTCACTTCTCATTTTGGTTCCCAGCAGACCTAAGAAGACAAATGGTGATAGGTTTAAAAATTGCTTTTTTTCTCCTCCTGTTCACTCTTTGCATATGTGCTTTACTATTGTAGTTTGTTTAGGTAGCAATAGGTAGCAATATCATATCTATTTCTAAAGATAAGAAACCAAACTTTGAATTTTTTCATGTTTATTGTGCATCAACAGTTATTGAATAGAACCACAGAGAGAATTCAAACATGATCATAAGTCTACAAACCAGCAGCCTCAAAGGCATACCCATTTGCCTAAGGCTGAATACTTCACAGTTACCAAAGTTATAAAAGTTTTGAAATAAAATAAATACATGTATGACATTAATGTGTTTGGAATATATCAAATGAACTAGTTGAACTGCTAACACTAAATATGTCTAGTTATGCTTTGGAAAAGCCCTTTAGGGTTTTACTTTGTAGTTGCTTTTAGCTTTTTATTAGCTCCATGCTCTAACCAGCCACCCCTTTTAGCTTTTTAAACTAAATCAGATTGGTAAGCTATGGCCAATGTGACAGTTCTACCCCAACCCTGTTTTTGTAAATAAAGTTTTATTGGCTCCCAGCCATGGTCAATGATGTATGTATTGCTCGTGGCTGTTCTCAATTACGATGGCAGAATTAAGTAATTGCAACAGATACTGTGTGGCCTACAAAGCTTAAAATACTTGCTGCCTGACCCTTTCTTACAGAAAAACTTTGTCAACCTCTGAAATAGATTATTGAAACTTACAGATAAAATACAAAAATTTATTCAAGAGTTTTCTTCCATATCCTTACAATAATTGGCTTACTGGACCATTTTCCCTACTTGATTACTAAGCACTGTGAGAGGAGCGATTCTCAGATTCAGTCACCATTATGTAGAGCCTCTAGAACAATACCTACACAATACATTATAATTTATGCAAGTTACATGGAAGAAAAAATAGCAATGTCATCTTTGTTTCCTATAGGACAATAGCCAGTGACTACATCTCTACCTTACTTTATAGTTTGTTTAGAAACATGGTAAACATAGTAAAAAAGAAAAACTGCTACTGCTGATTTTGTCAGGTTTGCACAAGTTTTTTTCCCAAACATACCAAATTTTAAGTTGTTATTTTTTTTTAAGATTTATTTATTTATGCATACAAGAACTGGGGTGCTGGAGTAGGGGCGGGGGGTGAGAGGATTCACCAGACAGAGTGGGGAACAGAACAGGCAGACTGACTGAAATACACAGCAGGCAAGTCAGGAGAGGTCTGCTGCACCATGTGGGTAGCTCCCTGGCCAGGGATTGAACTCGTGCTGCAGTGGCTGCGGACAGCAACATAGGTTGTGTCTTAACCCCTTGTGCCACCAGGGAGGCCCCTAAGTTGTTATTGAATGTGCTCTGTTGCCTAATGAAATAAATGCCCATATTTTCTTGTGTCCTCAGTGACGAGTGTTTTACTTCTGCATATGTAAAAAAAATTGTCAATTTCAAAATTTCTAGTTTCTAAAACAAATTTTCAAGGTGAAAGTAGTATATCCACTTTTCTGATTATAAAGTGGTACATGTTTATTATAAAATTGAAGTTAAAAAAGAAAATATGAATATCCTATGTTCTACCATCCAGAGTGTAATAATTGTTGATATATTTGGTGGACATCTTGATAATCTTTTCATGCACTTGCCAGTTATCTTAGCAGTGTTACATATGTATTTAAAAACTTGAGCACTTTACTGGCAAAAGATAATGTCAAATTATAATTTTGCTATTTACATATCTGACCTTGTCTAAAGGACAGTCAAGTACAAGAATAGGAAGAAATGCCTGTATATAATATGTTGAAAGTTTTTTGAGGCCACAACATATTTCATCAAAACCTGAAAACTTTTTTTTTTAAAGATTTATTTATGCATATAAGAGCTGGGGTACAGGCCAGAGATGTGGAGGGTGAGAGGATTCACCAGAGACAGAGTGGGGAACAGAACAGGCAGATTGACCAAGGTGCACTGCTGAGGGGAGCAGTGGGTGAGTCAAGAGGTCTGCTGCGCCATGTGGGCAGCTCCCTGGCTGGCCAGGGATTGAACTTGTGCTGCAGATGCTGCGGATTGCTTCATAGTGCGGTACTTAACTCCTTGTGCCACCAGGGAGGCCCAAAACCTGAAAACTTTTATGTGTGTTTTTAAAAGAATTTTTAAAAATAGTATCAGAATAAAACAAGTTCTGCAGGGAAAGGTCGGGATTTCTAAAATAAGAGCAATAACTTGCTGTTATTTTATGTATGTACCATATATATGTATATAACCTAAAAATGCTACTGTTTATTTTTTTAATTCATATTCTCATCTTTTAACTGTGATCTTACCACAACTCCATGACTCGTTGTAATAGGTAGATAGTAATATGACAGGTATTTCTGTGTTCTGGAAGTGGAAATGTATTCAGAGAAGTTAAATAATCTTTCCCAACTTCTCGGTAAATAAATGGTAAATTTTGAACTAATACTCAGATGCTTCTTTTTGGATAATTTGTCTTGATTGTTTACTAGTATAAAGCATGTAATAGGTATTTCATTTAAATTTTCATTTTCTGTTGTCCATCCTATTTTCACCCTTTTGAAGAAAATCAGTTATTTAAATGGAGAAGATACTTGATGAATCTGTAGAAAACATGTTTTCTGTGGTATTTATGAAAAAAAAATTGAGCGGTAGGGACATAATTCTGTGCTTTTCTCTTGAGGACGCTGGATTGTGTGTGGCCTTTTAGATCCCTCTCCATTCATTTTTAGCCAGCATTTACTGAGACCCTCAAACTTTTTCAGCCTCAGGACTCCTCCTACACTCTTAAAAATTATCAAAAACCAAAAAGCTTTTGTGTATCCGTGTGTATATAACATATATGTGTATATATAGTTGTTTACCATATAAAACACAAAGCCAAAAAATTTTTAAATATTAATTTTAAAATAACAAACATTACATGTTAGTATAAGTAACATTTCTGTGAAAAGTAACTTTAAAAACAATGTTTAGTGTCAAGGGTGGAACTGATTTTTATTTTTCAAATCTTTTCAATGTCTGTGTTACAAAATACCACTCTTCTGCTATCTGCTGCTTCATTCAGTCTATTGCAATATCCAAACTGTGTAACCTCTAGAAAACTCCACTGTGTACTCAAGAGAAGAATGAAGAAGGCAGATAACACCTTTTTTTTTTTTTTAAATTTCTTTATTTATTTTATACAAGCACTGTGTACAGTCAGAAGCATGGGAGGGTGAGAGAATTCACCAGAGCCAGAGCAGGGAGCAGAACAGGCAGAAGGACTGAAGTACACTGCTGAGGGGAGCAGCGGGCGGCAGGAGAGGTCTGCGCGCCATGTGGGACCCTCCTCCGGTGGTGGCCGGGGAGCAGCCGGGGATCGAACCAGCGCTGCAGAGGCTGCAGGCAGCTTCGCAACCCAGCGCTCAACCGCTGCGCCACCGGGGAGGCCCAAGGCAGATAATATCTTGGTATTGTTAAGAACTTCATGAAGAGTCACCAGGCCCCTATATCATATTCAGGGGAACTTCTGCTTTAGATAGTAGATACAGTGCCTAATGTTAGAGACAAGGCCTAATCTGTGTCCTAGAATGAATGGGATTCAAAACTAGAAAAAAACAACTGTCTAATACTCATCCTGTAAGTTTTACTGAAAGTACTCAAGATCTGTAAAACATAACTACAAATTTTGAAGACTTTTTAAGGATATCAAAAGGAGAGGGCAAGACAACAAGTACCTTCTTTAAGTAGGGTAGCCAGGGGAGGCTTCTGAATAATGACATTTAAACTGACACTCAAGTGATAAGGTAGCCTTATGAAAAGATGGAGGAGCATGTCTTCTGAACTAGGAAGTAATTTAGAATTGTCTTAAATTATTTCCTTGCTTCGTTATACTCTCCACGAGGATATGGTCTTTTTCTTTCTTCTCCACACTTATATTTCCAGCACTTCATACGGTGCCTGGCACTGGAGATGCACAAAGTCTTTTGAATGAGTTGAGAAAATGGTGAACAAGTTGAGAATGGTGAGCAATGGAGAGTGACAAAACAAGGCTACACAAAAAGCTTCATCAGCTATCAAAAGGTTTAATTCTAGGTGTATTGAGAAAGTTTAATAAAACAGAAGGAAGTGTTCACTTTGTTTTAGGTTACTTTTTTAGCTGTATGCAAAATGGATTGGAGGGGAGCAAAAGTGGAATTGGAGCAAGTTAGATTTTTCATGGCCTAAACTAAGACAATAGTAAAGATGGAGAAAAGAGGCAGAATCAAGTTATATTTTGCACATCGCATTGATAAAACTTGCTAATGGAATTAATTTAGAGAGAAGATGTGAATCAAAACGACACATAAGTTTTCTTACAGAGAACACATGAAGATGTGGTGGTGCCCTGCAGTGGAGGGGAACAGATCTGAAGGCAAAATTCAAGAATAATATACGAGGATGTTCAGTTTGAGAGGTTTGTGGGATACCTAAATGGCTATGTGAAGGAGGCAGTGTGGAATTCAGGGCAGAGATCAGAGCTGGAGACAAAGGTTAGGAATTTCAAGCACGAAGGTGCATTTAAATATGTGGGAATTGAGGCAGTCCTTTCAGGGAGAGGGCAAAGGAGGTATCCGGGAGCCAAACCCTGAGGAACCCAGACATTTCGGTTGAATAAAGGAAAGGGAGCTAAAAAGGAAAGTGGAAAGTTGTTAATGTGGTAGAAGAAAAACCAAGAAAGAAGTTGAGTAAGGATTGATGCTTTGGGTGGGACAGAAGAGGTAGTGAATAGCCTTAGGGAGTGAGAGGGAGAGAAGCCCTGGGGAAGAGGTGAGACTCAATCCAAGTGTTAGAGGATGTGTAGGAATAATTCTAGCTAAAATAGGGGAGTGGAGGGCATTTTCTAGGCAGGGAAAAAAAAAAAAAAACAGGATTGACCAAAGTCCTGGGAACTGGGAATATTAGAGGAAGTTAAAACAGGAGGAAATGATTAGCAGTGAGGTTTGAAAAATGAACACGAAATGGTATCAAAAGGGGCATTCTGTGTGATAGGATTGGATGAGACCCTTTATTCCTTATTAAAATGCTCATAGAAAGTAGTTAAATATGTAAAGAGAAGTCAAAAGGGAAATCATGCCCCAGACATTTTATATTTAGTTATCTTCCTATACATTATTTCTTACACGGTTCAAACTATAGTTTGAGTTTTTGTTTTGCATGATGTATTCAACACTTCTCCCAAGATACGGAAAGCTTCATCAAAATCTGTTTAATGACTAGACAGTATTTCATAACGATCAAACAGTTGTGTTTATTGCCAATATTTCAAAATTTTACGTGATTCTTTGACGTGTTGGGGATTTTTTTTAATCCGAGGTATATGTCAAATGGCGTTAGTTTTAACAATTTACTACTCTGACATTTCTTTAGATTTTTTAGGATATAATCACCATGGATGCGGTGTGAACAATGGATAGGGGGACGGGGGGGGGGGGAGGGAGGTGGGAGTGGAGATTAGTTGGGAACTCTTGGAGCTGTCGTGCTGCGGGAGCTGGGGGTTGAATGACATTTACCTAGAAGCTCCCAGCAGCAGAATCTCTGACCCATCAAATTCGAAGCTGCCTTTTAACAAGATCGGGTTAATACCTTTGCTCTTTCAAGTGTGCGAAGCTCCGAACTAGACCTGGGCTACGTATTCCAAGCTCCTGGGGAACCTTTGAAATGCCAATGCCGGCGGGGCACAGCTCGTAACAATTAAATCAATCCCCGCGAGTGGAACCCAATAAAATCTCTAAGTGATTGAACGTTGGACTAATTTTGAGAACTGGTCTGGGGAGGCGCTGTTAGGAAACAACGGTTGGTGGGACTTAGGTGGCTGAGCAACAGGCAAGAAAGTAAACGTACTCTGCATCATAAAGCCCCGCCGTACGCTCTGAATTTCGTACGACGAACAAAGCGCCCATATAAAAGGACTGAAAAGCGTGGGCAGGCCCGATATCCGCACTGCCCAGTCAGGCGCGACCGAGCTTAGCGGGGCTGGGGGCCGCCACCGGCGCGTCACACCCTGAGCCGGCCTCCCGCCCCGACCCCACCCGTGGAGTCCGTCGCGCAGGGACGCGACATAGGGCGCACGCGCACTCGCCGCCGCGGCCGGGGTCAGCCTCCTGTGACGTCAAGACGCCTCGCGGATTCCAGCCCTGGCCCCGGACGACGGCGCGGCCGGCAGGGGCGGGGCGTCGGGCCAGCTGAGCTATCCGGTCTGACCGCGCCAGTTTGAATGAAAGCGCCTCAAGATGGCGGCAACGGGGGCCGAGGCGCGAGGAGGTGCGGGATGGAGAGCGGCGCGCCTCGCTGTGCCTGCGGGCAAACCCCCGAGGCCCGGGAAGCGGGGCCGGGCCGCTCCGGTCGGCCTGAGCGCGACGCGGCGACTCGCCGCCTCCCGCCTCGCTGACACCCCGGCCCCCAAGTGCGCGCCGCGGGCTTCCCCCTTCCTCCGGCCCCTGACCCTGCTCGCCGCTCGGCCCGTGAGGTCCGCGCAGTCGGCGGCGCCCGGCACCCGCGGGGCCGGCCCGTGCGCCCGACGGCGCTGGCGTCGACTCCTTTTCCCCGCGTCGAGGTTCTGCGGGTTCCGTGGCCCGACCCCCGCTGCCCGTTGGACCCGAGGCCCCACCCCGCCTGGTCGCCGAGTGGAGATATTCGGGCGGCCGCAGCGGCTCCGGGTAATCCTCTGGGGGGCTCCGGGGCTTCTGGGCACGTTTGTGGCGTGACTCCTTTGTGGTGATCTGAGCGGTACGTGTGTGCTCGGGCTGTCTTTTCAGCTGGGAAGAGGGACGTGCTTGCTAGTATAAAGGTGACCTCAGTATCGGGGGGGAAAAGAAATTGGGGCTAACGTAGGAACGCTGAGAAAGAAAGTGAGGAGACCCTAAATTCGGACGCACCAGGAGGTTAAGATCCTCGTTGGAGAAAGATCCCAGTAAGTGGGTATTTGAGGGCGCAGTCTATGGCTTTGGTTAATTTTTATACCCCACCCCACCCCACCCCACCCCCAAGAACTTGCGTGTTGCATGGATATCAAAGAATTAGGTACTGAATTAGGGGGGTGTGCGTGGGCGCACTCTGAAATAGTGGAACTTTCAATGCATTCTAGAATTTAAAGGTGTTTCAAGCATTCCTTCTCATCACAGAGATTATGAAGTCATTATTCCTCACCTTTTCTTCCACGAGGGGTTACCGTGTGTTAATGAAAGTTTTTTTGTGCCAGTAATGAAATGTTTAATCTTGCCCATAATTTTTTTTTCTAGGTTATTATAGACAATTGGAACTGTTATCAAGGCTTTGCAGTTTATGTTGCAGTTTTATTCTCATTCTCAAAAATAGCATTTCCATCAAGGATTGTGTCTTAAATCCTCACATTAGGTCAACTAGATAAAAATGTTATTACCAGCAAATACACCTTAAGTAGATGTTGGAGAGGAGCCTCTTATGCACGTGATCAGCATAATGAGCTTAATACAAAACATCCTTAAGTTTTTAAATGAAAGGACTTAAGAGATCATTTCTGTTCTACCACCCTCCTATCCCCAAATCTTCACTCCAAAGCAAGCAACTTTTCCCCACCCCAATTTTTTTTGGAGGGGGTGAAAAAAACCTTTCACTTTATGTAGTTTTCACTTTGTAGGACGTAGGGTAGGGTGGAAATCACACTTCAGAGTTTTTGACAATGAAATCCCTGAGTTGTGAGGGTGAGGAAATGATGTTACAGCTGTGTTCTCTCTTTGGCAATAACCTCAAAACACAAAGATTAACACAACTACCTTGGAGAGCTACCAAGAAAAAGGATTTTACCAATAGATTTTGTTTGGTAATCTCATGTACTTCAAACCTCGCCTTTTTTTTTTCCCTCAGTGAATATGAAACCCAAAAAGATGGAAAATTCACTAAAGTTTTATTACTAAGGGGCCTGGGAAAGGCTGAGAGGGGTCTTGATCATCTTTTCTAGTGCTTACCGTAATAACACTAGGCATTAAACTAAGTTTACTACATATCTATATCATATAACACAGTTTATGTTCACTTATTTTTACTATTTATAGAAATTTGAGGGTAAAATCTTCAGCATAGTTACTGGCTTCTATAAGGTTGGTTGTGAGTTTGATTTTCTTTAAGCTGGTATAGGATTATGTAAATTGAATATTCTGTTTTTGTGATTCCTGGCTTTAAATACTCATTTAAATATTAAATACTCATGAAATGAGTATTAAGAAAATCAATATATTCTTGATAGTGATATCAGTATGTTCTTGAATATCATAACTCTTGGGTTTATTCATCTTATTAACATTGCAGCATGGACAAAATAAGTGGTGTTAAAATTTCATGCAATATTTCAAAGTGGGAAAAGTAGGACATAGCATGTATGAGTATGTAACTGTAGTACTATATTTCAATTGGACTTCAGTTCTTAGCCTCCAACTAAGAGAAAGAGGAAAAGTTAGTTTTTAACAAATTATATTAAGTTATTTTAAAGTACATTTGCTATATTTCTAATATGTTCCAGAGATGTTTTATTAAAAATAGTAATTATATTCTGTGTAAGAATATAATGGATAAGTCAAAACCATTACTTCTTTTGATCTTTGCATCTATATGTAATCTTAAGAAAGCTTATGATAGGAAACATTTTATTCAAGTGGCTTAATAGAAATTGACATCAGTTAAACATAGTAAGATAGAGACCCAAGATAAAACCCAAGACCAGTTTACCAAAATGGTTCTTTAATCTTACCTTTTTCATTAAAGCACATAAATGATTTTTTGTCTATGAATTTTTAGTCATGTAAAATTGCCAGTTGAAGGGTGGGGACATAGAGGTCTTAAGTTTTTCTTTTTTTGTTTTAACTAATTAGCTATTTCATTAGTAAAGAATTTTATTTTCTTATTGTAGCTTGGTGTGTGCCTTGCCTAGTTTCACTTGATACTCTTCAGGAATTATGTAGAAAAGAAAAACTCACATGTAAGTCGATTGGAATCACCACAAGGAATCTAAACAATTATGAGGTGGAATACTTGTGTGACTACAAGGTAGTAAAGGTAAGGCAAATATCTAGCCCCTTAAAAAGAGACCTAATCACACTTTAACTCAGTATTTCATATTTCTGTGATTTAGTAAGAACCTTAAAAGTAAGCAAAACTCTATTTAAAATTCTAAGCCTTAATAAATTTTTATGCCCTGTTAACTGTATTTCCAAATAACATGAGAGGATTTTGAAGCATAAAATGTTCTTGCATTAGAATATTTTTAAGGTGCTTATATCATTCTACATCCAACTCTTGATTATCTCCATGTGGTTACCAAATGTTTTATCTCAAATTGGCTTCTCCTGTTTTTTCACTTTGTTCCTGAGTCATATTTCCCCACTATAAGTTGAAATGAACTTAGAAATCCAAATCAATGTTAGTGTTACCGAATCTCTTCAAAAAGTATCACAATTTGATTTCCTGCCATCATGTCCAACTCCAGTAGCCAGTGAGGTTCTGTGGCATAAAGAATGGCCTACAGTTTAAAGTCATTTCTATTTCTATAGTCTTTTTTTAGAACCTTGTGACTTCAGCAAAGTGCTTTAATTTCTCTTGGCCTCACTTCATTCTAGTCCTCTTAAAAATGACAGATGTTCTAAGAAGCCGTTTTGATCTAAACCTTAAAATAATTATTATTTTTTTTAGTAACATATCCCTTTCCAGGAATTCAGTTTCAGTTGAGCTTGTCTTTATTCTCACACTGCTCAGTTCTACTTGACAGACTTTTTATCTTTCGCTTTCTTTTCCTATTCTTAACAACAGTTTTCCCAACTTTTTATTATTTTTTTAGGACTTTATCCACAACCCTCTGGTATTCAAGTAAAGACCTCTTTTTCTACTGCTTAAGTGGAAAATAGTATGACTTACCTGTATCTTGCTCATTGCCATTTTTCTTTTTTCCTTCCTAACCATCCCATTTAGGTCTTAGCTTAATATGTGATCTCTCTCTTGAATGTCTTTTTTCTACTAATTTATCTCAATCAGTAATCCTATTCACATCTTCCTTAACCTTCAAAAATTATTTGACCTTGCCTCTCCTATCAAGCGTTTTCTGTCTTTTCCTTCCAATTAATTTCCCATTTAACTTTTTTTTTTAAGATTTATTTATTTATATAAGAACCGGGTACAGGCCAGATGTGCGGGAAAGTGAAAGGATTCACCAGAGACAGAGCGGGGAACAGAATAGGCAGACTGATGAAATACACTGCTGAGGGGAAGAGCAGGCGAGACAGGAGAGGTCTGCCTCACCTTCCCGTTTAACTTTTTGAAGACAGCTTTATTGAGCTATAAGTCATACACCATATAATTCACCAACTTAAAGTATACCATTGAAAGCTTTTAGTATACTCTCGGAATTGGGGAACCATCACCACAATCAATATTAGAACATCTTTATTATTGCAGAAAGAAACTCCACACCCCTTAGCTATTAGCCACTGAACCTCCCCAGTCACCTCTCTACCCAGCCCTCAGCAACTACTAATCTGTTTTCTTTACAGATTCTCCTATCTAGACATTTTGTATAATGGAATCATACAATATGCAGTCCTTTATTTCATTTAGCCTAATGTTATCAAGTATTCATGTAGCATATATCAATTATTCATTCCTTTTTATTGCCAAATACTCCATTGTATGGATTTATTACGTTTAATTTATTCAGTCATGATCACTTGGTAGACATTTGGGTAGTTTCTATATGGGAGCTACTATCAAAAATACTGCTGTGAGCACTCGTGTAAGTTTTTGTGTGGCTAAATTTTCATTGCTCTTGAATGATAAACCTCAAAGTTGAATTGCTGGGTCATATGGTAGTTCTATGTTTGACCATTTGAGAAACTGTCAGACTGTTGTTCAACACAGCTGCACTGTTTTACATCCACACCAGCAGTACATGAAGCCTTCAGTTGATCCACATCCTTACCACAAAACCAGTTATTATCTCACTTTGAGTAATTCCATTCTATGGAATATGGAGTGATGCTACATTGTGGTTTTGATTGGCATTTCTCTAATGGCTAATTATGCTGAGCATCTTATTATGTGCTTATTGGCCTTTTGTGTATTTTCTTTGGAGAGCTGTCCAGATTCTTTGCCCATTTTTTAAAATTGGGTGTGTATTAATTATTGAGTCACAATGTTTCTTTAAATGTTACAAAATGTTACACAATTTGCAAAAATTTCTTCCTGTGGTTTGTCTTATCAGTAACTTTTCATAACTTTTTAACTCACTTTTTATTTCTACCCCATCATGGCCTTCTAATTATTGGATTTGAAGAGTTCATATCTTACTCCACTTCTTTACTGTATCTATCATTGTTGGCTACCATGTCTTCATTGAAACAAATCTATATAGAGTCCTGCCTTGGTTCAAAGTCTGGCTCTACCTTAGTCATGTTACCCTCAAAAAGTTACTTAGCCTCTTTGTCCTTCAGTTTCTTCATCTATGAAATGAGGCTAGGTAAAGTACCTAACTCAAGGGTTATTATTAACATTAAATGAATTGATAGAGATGAAATGCCTACAACAGAGACTGAGCTGTAATGATAATGCTATATGAGTTTACCCTCTGTATTGTTTCCTCTGTTTCCACTTTCATCCACCAGTTTTTCTTACTGTTTTGTTTTTCCTGAATTTCCTTTATTCTCTTATCTGTCTTTCCTCAAAAATGTAGATAAATCCCAAGGTCTGTCTTTGATCCTCTAATATCTCAACTTGGAGTTGCTGTGCGTAGAGTACTGCTTTCCCAATGATTTCTACTTTAATCTCTTTGGTTCCTAACACCCAGATCTTTGTAAGGTATTGTCCTCTTTCTGGGCTTCACTTTTAACTGAATACTGTACAGGTATTCAACATATTCAAAATTGTACCCATTTTCCTCCCTCTAATCTGCATCCTGCTGTAGTGTTCCCTGTCTAGGTTAACAGAATCATAATACTTCTAATTACCTGACTTTATAGTTTCATAAATCTTTAATTCTTCCTTTCTGCCTTCTGAATCTAATAAGTCATTAGAATCTTAGCTCTCCTTTTCTATGTGTTCTCTTCTTCATTCCTATTATACTTACACAGAATTACCTACCTAGGTTCTGTACTACAACAAAGGAGCTACCAAGATTCTTTCTCCTAGAGAATTTCAGTGTTATATTTTGGTTTGGATAATTTTGCTGTGTTATTCTCTTTATTCTTTTTCATTGTTCCATTTGGTTCCTTGCTTCGGAATAAGTTAACTTATTTTACACTCATTGGTCTACTTCATATTTCCCATTTCTTCCCCGCCTAATACAAAGCCAGTATTAATTCAACATACCACCACTTTTTTTTCCTTTTTCTCAAACTCAGGGCAGGTGAAATATCTTGTGACCCTGTATTTAACTTGTGTGTTCCCTTCCATCTTAGTCAAAAAAAGAGGCAATACCATATTCTACAAAGCCATTAAAATTGTTTCTAAAACAACTCTCATTGTACCCTTTGATTAGAACCTTGCTTTTAATGGTTCCTTTTAATGGTTCCCCGTTGCCTACCAATCTAAGCTGGACACTCTGGATTAAGGGCACTAGTAACCTCTCCAACTTCATCTCTTGCCACAAATCCTATTCACATTTTCTATCCATATTGAAATACTTGTCAATTCTTTGATTTAGATATGAGTTACTAAGTACCTGTCATCAGCCAGGCATTCTTCAAAGCGCTGGAAACATAGCTTAAAAACAGATATAGTTTCTATTTTAATTCCTTGAATGCATGTGCCCCCTGTCCCCCCTTTTGCTTTACTCATCCAGTTCTCTCTCTGGAATACAGCCATGTCCCTTCTCTCCTTGGAAAAAAATGTTTCTTGGCTTTCAACATTTATCTGAAAGGTTACCCACCTATTGTAAAGCCTTTTTCCCTTACCCACTTCCAGCAAAATTGTTTTATGTTGGAGACTTTAAAAAGCACTTTTTTTTAATCAGTGTAGAATTTGTCAAATTTTATAATTTTGTGTCCTCCATATCCTGCTAATTTGTCAATTATTTGATGGCTGGGACTATCTTTCTGTGTCCATAGTACATAACAAGTATTTAGTTAGTGGTTAGTGAATTGAATTTTTTACTTCAGTGATTCTTTTAATACAATCACTTTTAGGCTAGACCTTCATAGCTTCATACTTACATTAAAGCAGCACTATATTTACTTATTTACTAATAAATAAATTAGTATTTACAAATAAGTAAATTAGTATTTACTAATACTTATTAGTAAATAAGTAAATATCCTGTTTCTTCTTTCTTATCATCATTCAGTAAACATTTGAGTTTCTTCTTTGTGTCGGGTATTATGTTAGGTACTTGGAAAGTAAAGGTTAATAAGAACTGTGTCTCGTTTTAAGGAATTCACAGGCTAGTAAGAAAGATTGGCAAGTGAATCATCCAATGCAGTATAGTGCTCTGGCTGATATCATTACAAAATGTGTGGGAGGCATATCTAATCCAGACCACAGAAAGCTTCCCAGAAGAGGAAAAGACAAATATTGTGATTGATCATGGCTTTAGTATAGAGAATAGAATGGTAGGATCTGGGGGGTGGGAAAGAATGAAATGATCGAAGGATCTTTTAGCCATTCTATTTTATGACAGAAGTCATTTTAAAGATTATGAAAGAATGATACAATCAAATTTGTAAATGATAACTTTCTCTCTAGGCTAAGGAAAGTGGATTGGCAGGAAGGGAAATTACACGTGCCGACTATACATTCTGAAGAAAAGGCTGTTATAATAATCTAGATGTGTTAACTAAAGCCGTAACTATGATAATAAAGTTGGAAAATTTACAAACCTAGTTTAATTGTCATGGAGTTGGGTGGAGGAATGGCAGTGTGGAAGCCACATCACAGAAAACAAGGGTTTCTGACTTGCAATGGTGTGGATAATACTGCTCTCCAAGACACAGAAATATAGGAGGAGGAGCTAATTTGGGTTTGAAGAAAAAAGTCAAGAACATTTTAAGTATGAGAAAAACAGAATATAGTGGGGG